AATAAATAAAAAACGAACATTATTTTGTATGAAAAAAGAGTTTGAATAAAACTTCCGGTTTCGTGCGTGTCACGTGACCCGTAATGCACCATGGGGCATGTAGTGCCGGGCCACGTGACCGGTATAATCCCCACTTCAGGATATACTTAGATGGTAGGTCCGTCCGTCCAACTTAGGTTCCGTCGAATCTCAAAGGTATAGGAAACAGCAGATAGTGCTCTCAGTAGGAACAATAAGAAATAAAATAAAATAAATAAAATAATACTCACAAAAATAGAGCAGGAAATACTGCTCTATTAACACAGCGCTGGTGGAATTATCCCCACCTATGGATTGCTTGGCTGTAGTTTAGACCGGCTCTTGTGTGAGATGCTTGATAGTATGTTCCCCACTGGTGAGTATGCTGGAGAGGTAGGACCCTCTGTTCGGCTGGATTCCGTCGGGCTCCACAGAATGTATAAAATAGTGATAGTGCTCTCAGTTTGAAAAAATGAGATAAATAAAATAAAATATACTTACAAAAATAGAGCAGGTAGATACTGCTCTATTGCCACAGCATAGGTGGAATTATCCCCACCTAGGGATTTCTTTAGGACAGGATACAATAAGAAAATGTAATAAAAAATAAAATATAATTATAAAATGCCAGGAATAATACTAAAAAAAGTGTATATAGGTACAGGGAGAGGTACAGGGAGACGGTACAGGGAGACGTATAGGGAGACGGGAACAAGAGAGAAAGATTAGAAAGACAGTAAGCCCCCATAAGGATTTAAATAATGGGATCTTTAATCTCTCTCAAAAAACTTTGTCTATCGCACAGTTGTCGGTTCTAAACAAAGGCCTTAAGTTTGCTCCAACTAATTCTTTCAAACCTTTTGAAGCCTTTATTGACATTAATAAGTTTGTCCGCAAAGTCACTTTAAAACGATATTTTATTGAAAAAAACGAAGAAAGTCCAATTCTCAGTACCAACAACCCTATTCCACCTCCTTCCCCAACTCAAAACAATCACATTATAAACACACAATTTAAAGAAAAGTCTAAATTTTACCCAGCTTTTATGAAGACTGCTCCACTATCAGTATTTGAAAAACTGGTTACCAAAGATTTTGAAAAATTACAGACCAATAAATATGATATACATAATCTAACAAACAAAGAAAGGAAAGCACTCAAAGAGTTACAAGACGATAAAGATATTGTTATAAAACCAGCTGATAAAGGAGGAGGTGTAGTCATCCTATCCAGCACCATGTATATAGAAGAAGCTCACAGACAGCTAAACGATACCGATGTCTATGACAAACTCCTATCAGATCCAACTAATACAATTCAAAATATTTTATCTGTCTTTTTAAACAAAGGTGTATCTCAAGGTATTTTAACAAAACAGGAGTTTCATTTTTTAGATAAAAAATTTCCAAAAATCCCGGTGGTTTACTTCTTACCTAAAATACATAAAAATGTAACAAATCCTCCCGGCAGACCAACAGTGTCAGGTATAGGCTCGCTTCTTTGCAACCTCTCACAATACATTGACACTCTTCTCCAACCTGCTGTGAAGAAAATGAAATCGTACCTCCAGGACTCTATGTCTCTTTTAAACTTTTTAAATCATTTTAAATGGAACCCCAATTTCATTTTAGTTACCTGTGACGTCCAATCCCTTTATACTATTATACCTCACAATATTGGATGTGAAGCCATCAAAAATATTCTAACTAAAGAAAACAATTTCCGAAAAACAAATCGATTTTATCTTAGAGGGTATTAACATCATTTTAAAAAACAATTATTTTTGGTTTTTAAATTCTTTTTATCTCCAGAAAAGAGGAACTGCTATGGGTACCAGGTTTGCCCCAAGTTATGCCAATTTATTCATGGCAGATTGGGAATCTACAGCCATCTACAATGGAGACAATCTAGGGGCAAACCTGGTCTCATATTTTAGGTATATAGATGACCTCTTTTTTATATGGGAAGGACCCGAAGACAGTCTTATTTCTTTTATTAATGTTCTTAATACTAATAACAGAGGCATAATTTTAACTCATGAATTTAGTAGAGAACAAATTAACTTTTTAGATTTAAATATATTTATTAAAAATGGACAAATTCACACTAAAACTTTTTTAAAAAAAGTATGTGTTAACACAGTAATTGACAAGAACAGTTGTCACTACAAACCATGGCTCGACAGTGCCCCAAAAAGTCAATTTCTAAGACTATGGAGAAACTGTACAGAATTAGAAAGTTACAATGAACAAGCTGATGTTTTAAAAAATTAATTTATAGAAAAAAATTATCCAGAATCAGATCTACTAGAAAATATTAATGAGATAAAAAATAAAAATAGGGATGAACTTTTAATATATAAACCTAAAAGAAAAAATGATTCTATTCCTCTCCCCATTACTTTTAATTATAACAACAAAAGCAGGGAAATAAAAAAGATTATTAAAAAACATTGGCATATTTTAGAACAAGATGAGAAACTGTGTAAAAATATTCCAGAAAAGCCAAGTATAATCTTTAGGGGAGCTTCCAATTTTAAATCGATTTTAACTACCAATTTCACTAAAACAATTCCACCAAAAAATTCATTATCTTTTTTTCCTCAATCCATAGGTTTTTACAAATGTAAAAATTGCATTGTATGTAAAACTGCTGATTCGACAATGCCATCAAAAATGACAGCATTCACATAGAACAAAAACAACCTTTAAAATAAAGGAATTCATAAACTGTAACACTAAAAATATGATTTATCTATTAGAATGTCCTTGCCGCTTCCAATATGTGGGGATGACCACTAGATGTCTAAAGACTAGACTCAGCGAACATTGTAGGAATATAAAAAACGGATATCTAAACCACTCTGTATCAAAACATTTTTTAATCCATAATAAAGATCCGAAATTGTTGAAATTTATTGGTATAAAAAAATGTTCAATACCTTGGAGAGGAGGTGATATAAAAAACATTCTAGCAAAAACAGAAATGGAATGGGTCTATATATTACAGACCCTCACACTTCAAGGTCTCAATGCAGATTTTGATTTACATAATTTTTTATAATCCAACATTCTTCCAATATAATATATTGCCTGTCCTAATCTTCTATATGTTTATATGCTTTTGTGTTTTTTATGTTTTTAACTAAAAACACTAATTTTAAACATTTTAAATATTTTTAAATATTTTTAAATATTTTTAAATATTTATATTTATATTTATCCTCTTTATAACCATGTTCACAAATGGATCTTATTGCTTTAAACTATGCTTAAGTATGTCTTCTGATATTTATCTTTGTTTTTAATATATTTATACTGTATAATGTGTTTTTTTTATCCATACACAGGTTCTACTAAAAATGAGAGCAGCTAACAATAGGATTTTCCTTGTTTAGCTTGCTCTCATTTTTTCCCTCAGCATATAGTGACCGTCATAACTACATTACCCAGGGAGCACTGCTCCCTTATGCCGGTCACATAGTATTCGGCATGGCAGATCGATCTGCCCAACTACATTTCCCAGGGAGCACTGCTCCCTTATGCCGGTCACATAGTATTCGGCATGGCAGATCGATCTGCCCAACTACATTTCCCAGGGAGCACTGCTCCCTTATGCCGGCCCCACGTTCCACTCATGCCCTGCGCATGCGCACCGCAACCTTCGATTGCACATGCGCACGGCAACTTCCGATTGCGCATGCGCACAGCAATTTCCGACTGCGCATGCGCGCGGCAGAGTCCCGATCATGTGACCATCAAAGTTAAACATAATAAAGCTACTAGCACTTCGTTTTACATAAATAAATACATTTTAAGACTTATGAAATTTAACTCTATACATCAAAATAGTCTTTTATCTGTTTTGAACTTGTTAAATATGATTGTCTTAATTCTTGTTTCCAATTGGTGCAACAAAAATTTTGGCGCCAAATTCAATTACTGTGTACCCTTATAAATACTGTCTTATGCCAGGTATCATGTTCTATTACCATTTTGAAAAAACCTGATTGGTGAAACGCGTTAATGGTTTTAAAGGACCACTCTAGGCACCCAGACCACTTCAGCTTAATGAAGTGGTCTGGGTGCCAGGTCCTTCTAGGGTTAACCCATTTTTTCATAATTATAGCAGTTTCAGAGAAACTGCTATAATTATGAATGGGTTAAGCCTTCCCCCTAATTCTCTAGTGGCTGTCTCATTGACAGCCACTAGAGGCGCTTGCGTGCTTCTCACTGTGAAAATCACAGTGAGAGCACGCCAGCGTCCATAGGAAAGCATTGTAAATGCTTTCCTATGAGACCGGCTGAATGCGCGCGCAGCTCTTTCCGCGCGTGCGCATTCAGCCGGCGGGGCGTAACGGAGGCGGATCGGAGGAGGAGAGCTCTCCGCCCAGCGCTGGAAAAGGTAAGTTTTTACCCCTTTCCCCCTTCCAGAGCCGGGCGGGAGGAGGTCCCTGAGGGTGGGGGCACCCTCAGGGCACTATAGTGCCAGGAAAACGAGTATGTTTTCCTGGCACTATAGTGGTCCTTTAATAGTGTATTTTAAACAATAAAAGTTATTTTTTGGTTACCTTTTTTATAGGACCAATTTTTAACTTATTTTATTGTACCTATATACATTTTTTTTAGTATTATTCCTGGCATTTTATAATTATATTTTATTTTTTATTACATTTTCTTATTGTATCCTGTCCTAAAGAAATCCCTAGGTGGGGATAATTCCACCTATGCTGTGGCAATAGAGCAGTATCTATCTGCTCTATTTTTGTAAGTTTATTTTATTTTATTTTATTTATCTCATTTTTTCAAACTGAGAGCACTATCACTATTTTATACATTCTGTGGAGCCCGACGGAATCCAGCCGAACAGACGGTCCTACCTCTCCAGCATGCTCACCAGTGGGGAACATACTATCAAGCCACCCGACCACCCGACGCGCGGGAGTGGCGATCCTGCTGGCCGCGGAGTTAGGCTTCCGGGAAATGGACAGATTGGCAGATACCCAAGGCCGCTTCCTCTTCCTGAAGGGACTGATTGCGGACAGGATCTACACTCTCGCGACCATATACGTTCCCAACTCAAAACAAGCACAGTTCTTACGTGGGGCACTGAACAAGCTTCGCGGATTCTCGGAAGGAGCCCTGATAGTGGGAGGAGACTTCAACGCTCCGTTGGATCCTCTGCTAGATTCCTCCACCGGTCACAGCTGCATCTCGCACACCCACATCCGATCTATCCGCAAAGCACTAGGTGAGCTATCCCTGGTAGACTGCTGGAGGACACTCCATCCCGCCGACAGGGACTATACACACTACTCGGCGCTGCACAATTGCTACTCCCGAATAGACTATGTCCTTATCAAACAAGTTGGACTGTCCCGCTTACGGTCGGCAACTGTCGAACCAGCCACGTGGTCGGATCACGGTCCGGTCCGGATTGAGTTGGAATCCCCACTGTTCAAGCCGGCCACCTGGTCATGGCGTCTTAATGAATCATTACTTCAAGATCCTACGATAAAAGAAGAGATTTCCCAAGCGCTGACTTCATACTTCACGGAGAACGAGACGGAAGGGATGTCGTCTGTGTCGGTGTGGGAGGCACACAAGAGTGTCATACGTGGCATACTCATAGGTCTCGCAACTCGCAAGAGAAAGGAGGCGACCAGTGCAATGGCAGACGTATACGACACCATTAAACGCTTGGAACTCCAACACAAACGGTCTCAGCTCACCGAGAAGTATGGTGAATTAATGGAAGCTAGACGCACCCTGAACACTCTCCTCACGAAGCGATATCAACGCTCGCTCCAACGCTCGAAGAACTTTTTCTACGCACATGCGAATAAGGGCGGGAAATTCCTCGCCCGCTTACTGAAAGGCGACACACCACGAACTCAAGTACGAAAGTTGCGCTTAACCTCGGGCAGAGTGTCCCCATACCCAGAAGACATAGCGGACGAATTCAGGGCATACTATGAATCCCTCTATAACCTCCGTCCACCAGGGAATCAGGCACCAGACGGGGAGGCACCGCCTCATGTACAAACATACATCCAGGACACCGTGCGGGCACGAATAGATCCAAACGCCGCGTCCTTCCTCGACGAACCACTTACCACGGAAGATCTCGCCGCTGCCTTGAAACACACTAAAAATGGACGCGCCCCAGGACCCGACGGATTCCCCTCGGGGTACTATAAACAATTCGCCACGGCGCTCTTACCGCGGCTGACAAGGGTGGTTAATGAAGTCTCGGAGGGCGGTCGTTTTGGCATCGAGTCCCTGACTGCGACCATAACTGTCCTGCTTAAGCCGGGGAAAGACCCAGAACAATGCTGTAACTATCGGCCAATCTCTCTGCTAAATGTGGATACTAAGTTGTTAACTAAGGTGTTGGCAACTAGACTCCAACGAATCCTTCCGAGCCTTGTCCATGTGGACCAAACGGGGTTCATCCCGGGACGGGAAGCACGGGACAGCACTCTACGCCTATTCTCAATACAACACCACGCGCGGAAATACCGAAAACATCTATTGCTGTTGTCGACCGACGCAGAGAAAGCCTTTGATCGGGTCAACTGGGCATACATGTTTCAGACACTCCGATACATGGGCTTTGGACAACGGATCATGGCTTGGATCACCGCTCTATACAGCACACCGAGGGCAGCAGTGCGAGTTAATGGCGCACTCACCACGAGCTTTGGGATCACGAACGGGACCAGACAGGGGTGTCCCCTATCGCCGCTCCTGTTTGCACTGTCACTGGAGCCACTCCTACAGGCAATACGGGACAACCGGAATGTCCACGGATACACTTGGCAAGACACTGAGCACAAGGTAGCCGCATACGCGGACGACCTCTTGTTCTTCATCTCCCAACCTCGGATCACTTTGCCCTGCATACTCTCAGAAATAGAACGGTTTGGCCGCATATCGGGGTTTCGACTCAATCTGGCGAAATGTGAGGCCCTGAATATCACCACACCCGCAGTTTTAAAAATGAACGTTCTTCCTAGGATCCTGTATTTATTTCAGACTATACCAACAACCCTGCCGGCATTATTTTTCTCGACCTTGAAATCAGCGGTCATAAAATATGTCTGGAGGGGGGAACGATCCAGGCTACGCCATGACATCCTATGCTTACCAAGACACAGAGGGGGCCTAGCCCTACCAGATTTTAAAAAGTACCACCAGGCAACAGTCCTACAAAGGATCCTGGAATGGCACGAAACAGACACGAGTAAACAATGGGTAACTCTGGATCGGATGGGAGAGGCTGCAAAACTAAAGGCAGCGGTTTGGCTGAGGAGAACAACCAGGGGCAGCAGGAGGGAAGAGGAAGGACCGGTGGCTGAAACATTACTAGCGTGGGAAACACTCAGAGAAATGCCTCAGGTGTCCCCGACCCCCTGTCCCTTACTCCCGATCCAGCACAATCCCAATATTGGAGGCGGACCATCGACGGAAGCATGGGCGTTTTTGGGTGGAGAGGATTATATACCAATCTACAAAGTCACTCGGGATGGTGAACTAAAATCTCTAGACGAGCTGCTAGAGTCACGCCCACGATCCCATATGGCGACCTTCCGATACATGCAACTACGACATTATTACAACTCCCTCCCACACCGGGACAGACTGCACAGAGACCTGACATGGTTTGAAGACGCCTGCTCTCGCGGCACCTCTCTTGGGAAAGCCATTTCACACCTCTACCAACACCTGCTGTCTGGCCCTACCTCGGAGAACAACACTTTCCAACGTCAATGGGAGCGGGCAATGGACACCACGTTCACCCCTACACAATGGGACAAGGCGTTGATATGGCAACACAAAAGCTCCTCTAGCTCCCGCTACCAAGAAGTTAACTACAAACTACTCTCCATGTGGTACCGAACGCCGGTATTGCTTCACAAAATTTTCCCTAACACATCCCCAATGTGCTGGAGGTGCCAGGAAGAAAGGGGGACACTTATACATATCTGGTGGGAATGTAAGCATATTGGCCCATATTGGGATCAAATCAAATCCGACAATCGTCAGATTTTGGGGGACATCACCTGGTCGGTGGAGCTAATCTTACTCCACGTCTCCACACAACCACTATCTATATATAAAAAATCCATCTTGTGGCACCTGCTAAACGCTGCTAAATCACTCGTACCAGTATACTGGAAAAAGACAGATATCCCTACCAGAGAAGAATGGATCCATCGAGTTGAGGATATTCGAGCGGCTGAAGCTATGCAAGCGGAGCTGATGGGCAGGGGTCCGAAGTGTGCTGAACTCTGGACTCCGTGGTTTACCTTCCACGCGCAGCGGTGGGGGGGGGGCGGGCGGGGGTGCTTGCCGGGCGACGCATCTATGGCAGGTGATGCGTTCCATGATGGCCAGCTGGAGGTGGCAACGTTCAACCGCATACCGCGCGTCTCTCTAAGTTGGGGGAATGACTCTGAAGGCACTGCCGACTGAGACAAACGGGTGACCATGTGGACCCACAAGGGAGACATACCCTCAAAGGAATAGCTGACGAATTTGAATGACACCCCACTACATAAATATAAACAGGGATACGGCTGTCCTGCACATGACCCTCCCCCCGACCCTCCCCGACTACTGCATGGAATCAGAGCCACGGTTAGGGGACCTTGATAGACTACACGACGAGGACACGCAGGGTAACTGCTAATGTGGACGATGGGCGTGCGGTGCAGCCTTGGACTTACACCCCCACCCATCTCCCCGCACACTCGCCTCATCGCTCACCACTACACACTTCCCACGTCACATCATAATCTGAACAACTCTTTCTACGATGGACCCACATCACCCACTTATATATACTAGGGCCACGCATAACTACAGGTTATCCACCTCCCCATCCTTATCGATGCCACTCTTATAAATACACTACAGGCACATATAGCACCTCTGGCAATATACGGACCCCATTTCATTTACGCTGCCCCGTCTCCTATGGGCCTAGCCCGACTGTGCGAGTCTCCTATACTCACATAATTCAACGACTTAATAGAGTCAACAGCACATCTAACTAAGGGCACTGATATGAGCGTACAGGGGAACTATGATTGACTCTCGCCCTCATTGAAAGCTTGTTACAGATATCAACGGTTTATTTATTGTCTCTTCATGCTTGTATGACAAATGGGGCCTGCGAGCCCGAAATGTGATATACTCACCTACACACAGGTACACAGATCACCTCAGACAATATACGGATTCCACCACACTCACATTGACCTACCTCTCACGGGCCTAGCCCAAATATGCGTTTCTAATACCTTCACACATTTCAATAACTTAATTGACACAACCACTTACCTAACTATGGGCATTGGACATGAGCGACCACTTGAACTGTAACTGATCCCCTCCTTCATTGAAATCTCAAAGTAGTAGTCAACTGCTTATCCATTGTACATTCATGTTTTTATGATGACTTGGGCCTGCGAGCCCGAAATGCGTTACTTCTATTCACGAATAAAAATGATTTTCAAAAAAAAAAAAAAAAGAACATACTATCAAGCATATCACACAAGAGCCGGTCTAAACTACAGCCAAGCAATCCATAGGTGGGGATAATTCCATCAGCGCTGTGTTAATAGAGCAGTATTTCCTGCTCTATTTTTGTGAGTATTATTTTATTTATTTTATTTTATTTCTTATTGTTCCTACTGAGAGTACAATCTGCTGTTTCCTATACCTTTGAGATTCGACGGAACCTAAGTTGGACGGACGGACCTACCATCTAAGTATATCCTGAAGTGGGGATTATACCACTGAGTGCCTTTTATCTTAGAGCTGGTCATAGCTCCACCAAATGTGAGTTCTAAATCCTGATTCTGATTAAATTTTTATCGTTGGAATTACAATACTTCACTATCGGCAGTTCTCTTTGTGTTTCTTATTTCCACATAAACGGACACTTTTTACCCGGACGGAACCATCTCCGAGGACTGTAATCCCACCTGATATCAGTGAGACTGTTTTTTACTTCATTTTATCCCATTTGGAATTTCTCTACTTTTTATCTATTTTTATTGATAACCTGAACGGACATTATTACCATATTCATTTTTAATTTTATTTTTATATATATTTTAACTTGAAACAATCTACCAGTTTTTAGTATTTGTAAATACATGTCTTATATATATTGATTTCTGGTATATTATCCAACAGCGCAGCCCTCAACTCCTCTATTTATAGGATTATAAATCCCTACTGTTATATTTGAAGTTAAAAACGAGCATTGGGTGAGGAGTTTCGGCTGTTTAAAGGATTACCCGGCCACTAGGTGTGATGGGAAGTGTAGTTCCCAGTGTAGAGATTGAGAGGTTGGCAGAAAAACGGCATCTGCCATCCTCGTAATGCGGCGAAAATTGCAGCATGGGGCACTGGGTGTCTGAGCAGTTAGCAAACACAATCAGAATGCTTTATGATAACGATAAAAGTAGTTTTTATAAAATTAAGAAGGAACACTAAGGAACACGGCAGCCATCTTGGTAGTGGCAGAGGTTGTAGCAAATACCTATTGCAGGGGGAGTGGGTTAAGTGGCCATGTTGGGTGGGGAAAAAACATCCCTAATATAAAAATAGAATTATGATAAAAGTGGCTGTACATAAAAATGAAGTGGCTGTACATAAAACTGAATATTATGGGTAAGAAATTACAATAGTGGGTGAGATAAAAAGTACCGTATATACTCAAGTATAAGTCGAATTTTTCAGCACATTTTTTGTGCTGAAAAACCCCCACTCGACTTATACTCGAGTCAGTGCCTGTATTATGGCAACTTACATTGCCATAATACAGACCAGGACTGCCGGGCTCATTACAAGCCAAGCGGTCCTGTTGGGGGATGGCAGCAAGCTGTAACTTACCTTTCCTGCAGCTCCTGTCAGCTCCCTTCACCTCTGTTCTGGTCAGCTCCCTTCTCCTTCACTGTAAATCTCGCGAGAGCTGCGGGGTCAGAGCCCGTGGCAACGCTCTGGGCGGCAGTCAGACCGCGAGACTTACAGTGGAGGAGAAGGGAGCAGACCGGAACGGAGGTAAAGGGAGCTGACAGGAGCTGCAGGAAAGGTAAATTACAGCTTGCTGCCAGCCCCCCTCCTACACAGCTCATGCCACTGGACCACTAGGGAATGAGAGCCCCTCTCCCTGGCCAGCTAACAAGCAGGGGGGGGGGACAAAAATAAATAAATAAAAATGTAAATAATACAAAATAAAATAAAAATATTAATAATATTAAAAAAAAATAATAACAATAATTAAAAAAAATAATAAAAATGCCCACCCCCCACCAAGGCTCTGCATCACATACAAACACTGTACTCATACACACACACACACTGCATTCATACACACACACACACTGCACTCATACACACACACTGCATTCATACACACACACACACACACACTCGAGTATATAAGGTATTGAGATAAAGGGAACATATACGTAAAATAAGGATTTAATAAAAAAAATGGATATAATAAAAATCTAGGGCAGAGGTGGTT